CGATGCCGCGATGATTCGTTTTTGCGAGGCAACCAAATTTCCACGAGAGTCAGGAAGCAAGGTATAGGTCTCAGCGGGCGGCTCGTTCAATCAGCATATCCCGGCAAATGAGCAATAGATCGGTGACGTGCATACACATCGACTGTGTGCGGTGCGTACACACACGGACGTAGATACGCACACACGCGTAGGTAATCCACAGCGTGACTATTAGTCGTAAGTCAATAATAAAGCCCTTGTCCTGCCGCGGCTATAATGGCCGCGGTGAATTATTCTGGTCGGGATGCATTGTCCTGGTTGGGTCGCCGGTCGGCTTGGAATTGTCGGCCGAGCACGCACATGGCAATATACGCGGACGCATATGTGCACGTCGAATGCGTGGCTGTTTGCGCGTATGACGCGCATAATTGAGATGGATGTCGATTGATTCGCGGCCGGGTTTCGTTCGCGTGGTCTGCCTATTGGCAGCTCATTGTTAACACTCAAGTAGTAGGCTCAGTTTCCACGTGGCTTTAACATAATTGCACAATGCGTCATTGGCTGTCGTACGGCGATGAAGATAAACTGCATATTTTATTGAATTATATGGTTTATTAAAATTTGCTTATTAATAAAAATGCATGCGGAGAGAACGAGAAGAGAGAATATTATTTTTCTTGAAATTATAATAAATTTTGTTAAACTGGTGCAAATAGAATTTTGATTAATTATTTATGTTTTTTTTTTTGAACATTAAATAATTTAGTTTTACTTTAGTAAGTGTTTTCAAGTGTATATTCGAAGAAAATTTATGCTAAGTTTGAGGGTACTAGAACGAGTAATAACTAAACGATACTCAAAGGAATTAAGCACTTAAGTAATATATATATATAAGCGTGGAGATCAATTTCTTCAAATAATATAAAAATAATATAAATATAAAAACTTACTTAGTGCAAACAGAATTTAAACTAATGTATTTTTTAGTAATAATTTAATTTTGTTGATAAGTAGGTTTTCAAGCGCTTGATATAAATTTCTTCAAGTATTTGAAATTTCTTCAAGTCTAAGGTTATTAGAATGAAGTAAGCAATGATAGCGTAGAGCGAGGCGATTCGGATCGAATTTTTCCTCATTGATAAAAAAGTTTATGGAATTTGTATTTTTAAAGAAAGCGCTTTCGGATATTGTTTTTTGCAAAGTTATTTTTAAAGTGCAATATACGCTTGCGCGTCATGGAGAAAAACAAACTGTAAGCTTTTGCTTCTGTATTCTTTCCAATAAATTGTTCGCTATACTTGCAATCCGCGTGTGTCCACGTGATTGAATACGCGAAAAGAAAGTTTCACACAAATTGCACGCTCCAACCCGATCTTCAAAAGGATTCTGCTGCGCTTCCTTCTGTCTCTTCCCATTATTTCCTGTTCGAAGAGATAAACTCGGTTACCTGATATATACGTTTTTCAATATCACTTCTCGCTCCGATATTTTCTCGATTTCCTCCAAGTTGAAGATATAGACCTGTAACAACTTTTAAATCAATCTGGAGCTTTATCAAAGTTTATTGTGGACTTTATCAAATAATCCATCGATAGAATTTACACCATCGTAGATTCTATTAATGTTTAACTGGTTAAAGTGTTAATAATTGAAATTGCGCTTGTGGCTTAATTCTCGCAAACAATTCAACTGTAATTTCGATTAACTATATTTTCTTTAGCCCGCGGACATTCTTGTTAACTTGCAGCTCAAATATATAGACATTACTTGCCTACGGGATGCATTTATGGAAATACTGTCCGATATAATGCACAAATATCAAGCAGATTATGTCGCTACTAAAATTACCATTGTCGATTGGATGGTATATCATCAATAAACATCCACATCATGATCATTTCGTGTGTTAATACACTCTTAATCTTATATCGTATAGTACTTATAAATTTTGGATACAGATTTCTGAATAATAATAACATTTTGAGTTACATAGTTTACACACTAATAGGAGACATTTTTTTAAAACATTTTTTTAAAAACATTTATAAATAATAACTCAAATATATTTTATGTATAATATTTTCTATATATCATAAAAGTTAAATTCTTCTATATTCACGCATATGATAATACCATAAGAGCATCCAGCAGAGCACTCAACATGTTGCAACTCAACAGTTGCGCAATAATTGCGTTCTATTAAACGCAGCCAAGTCAACATATTTCCATTTATTTTATACTTATCTCCACAGATGTGCGTAATGTTTGGCTTATACTTATCTCCACAGATATGGGAGATAAATATAAGCACATTGAAAAGTTTTATTTTCGTTTTTCTAAAAAAAATCCTTTATGTGATTGTGAATAAGAATAATAGTAATATAATGAAATATAAAAATTTTATTTGAATCCATTTTTTTACTACGTTGTGACAATTACTCTTTGTGTTTGCTTGGTATTAAAAAGAAGACTTTATTGATTTGATCACATTGTCCGTTGCTAGATGCCTGATGCCGATAACGGGAACTTTCGAAGGGCGGAGATCAGCACCATCGATCCTCGCGATTCTACAAAAACGTCAAAGAGATCGCCAGTTTGATGATGAACGATTGTAGGTTGCTCGATGGAATGGTGGCGAACCCGGTGGTCTTTAAAATATTCAAGCGAGAGTGTGTTTGACGGCCAATCGGAAAGGACGAAAAGTCGCGCTGGACGCTGGGACTCGCTCTTTCGAAATCGACTCTTTCATCCCTGTGGAGTTCGTCCCCAGAAGCCCAGTTGGTTCGCAACCAGTTCGATGGATCGCGAAGAGAGAAAAAGGGAAAGGGAGGAGAGGAGAAAGGGTCTATTGTGTCTTTCAATGACAATCGCCGTGGCCGACGGACATTTGATCGAATTCAATCGATTGGTTTCTACGGTTCTTCTAAACATAGTCCGGGGTGAGGGAGAAACGCTAAGAGAAGGAGAGGGATTGGAATGAAAGAAAGAAGGAAGAGAGGCTAGTATAGGCGGGACAATCTCTCTGGAGTACCAGACGGTACATGGCTCGAGAAATGGAGAGGTAGAGAGAACGAAAGAGAAGCTGTTAGAGCGAAGAGTAAGGAAGGGACTCGGGAATATCCATGGTAGCTCCGGGCTCATTTGAATCCGACGCTCAATAATATCCCTCAGGAGTACCGAAATATCTCAATATGTGTATATAACATCGTGCTGCGGCGTAGCTTATGATCTCTAGCGATATTTGCTTCGGCGACGTCATCCATCAAGATCGCATAATACAATTCGTCGGGATTCTCGATATGCAGAGAAGACCTCCATAAGAATTCTCTGTGCGATGAATAACCAGAATAACGATCGCCGAGTTAATAATCCACGAATAAGCATTTAAAAATCTTTGACGCTGCACATCACTCATGAAAATTTACACATATAAAACTAAATCTTATTAATTATGAACAGGCTTGAAAAAATTACGGGGCTCGATTAAAAATCTGAAAAATCAAAGTATATTCTACTGGATTCCAAGAGTAATATAGAAAAATATTCCGCCAGTATGATAACACGATAAAGTGTCCCGAGGACTCTGTTGGCAGGGCTCGCTCGGTAGCAAACGGGGAAGTCACAGGCAAAGAGCAACATTCGCCTGGAGGGATGGATTTTCCTGTCAGAGGTGGAGTTTAGAGGTCGGGAAATTAGTTTAGTTATGCACCCGGCAGGGACGTCTCTTACGTTTCCACTACCGACGTAAGACCTCGGCGAAGCACGTACATGTTCTAGGGCTCTCCTCCTCTCTGTCCTCTCTCCGCGCACTCCGCACCACTCTCCCCCTCTCTTTTATTCCTCGCAAACTTCCTCGCAGTCTTCTCTCCAGCTCGCCCTCTCCCTCTCATGAATTCCGAAGAATCGAGCCGGCTAGCGGCCTTCAGAAGAATCAAGCCGAGGGAGAGAATTTTCCGGAGTGAGAACAAATCGAGCGAGTGGAGGAGAGAGTCTTCAAGTACGAAGTAGCATTGAGGACTGTTGCTACTTACTACTCCGAAACAGCTGGCTGACGAAGACATCATTGACTCAAGATCTCAGTCTCTCTCTCTCTCTCTCTCTCTCTCTCTCTCTCTCTCTCTCTCTCTCTCTCTCTCTCGCACGTGCTAATCCTCCTGACTATCGAACGATCTTAAACGTGCTCGTTATAAGTGCCGCTTTGTTCGTTGCGCCGCGCTTGAGTGCCATTTGAAATTTAAAACGTTAACGGAATACTCTGAATAGCAGAAATTAAGTTCAGTTTGCTGTCGATTTAATCTCACGACAAAGTATTTCAGATACTTTTTTGTGACAAATAAGTCTTTGTGCCGAATATGTGTAGAGCGAAGAACGTGTGAGAATCATGCTTGCATTGAAATTAAATGATTAATAAAGTTTAAAAGGTTAAAATCGAAATTTGTCGAATAATATAAAATAACATTAAATCTCTTTCTATTGTAACTTCTGGTATACTTTACAGCAAATCATCATATATCTTGTAAAACACAAACTGATAATATAATATACTATAATTTCAATATTATAATTTCCCACTCAACAATATAAATGTAATCTAATACCTATGTATGTTGTACATACCAGTTACATTGAGTACGAAATTATAATTTGGTAATATTACTATTAGTTTGTATTCTACGGGATTTAACTAATCATTTTCTGACTGTGATTATTAATCCTCCGCCAACAATTAGGGTGTTTAAATACATGATTGATATTTTGATTGTAAATTTTGATAGATATAAATCTTTGAAAGAGTAAATAAAATACAATCCGACTTCTGTGATAATAAAAACCTGTCATTTGTTAAAGCTTTGGTAAGTATACAGATTTTATCTTTATAATCCGGAGCAATAAAATGTTTTGTTTCTCAAAGAACCCTATTACTGTTGGAAAAGTTAACTACTTACTTTTTCCGGCGGAGGGTAGAAATATCTAATAAATAATCGAAATGTTCACGTATTTATAATCTCATATCGACTTACTTGGGAGTCTTCTTCAGTAAAGATCGCGTCAAATGCGAACATCTTTGGCGCCGCCACAGTAGGCCGTCGATCTTCTGCTGATGAAGATTGCCCAGATGCTGGGTCCACTAATGTAACTTGTTTTTTACGCTTATCCGCACTGAAGAAGCTACCTCCATCTCCAGGTGACACCCTTAGCATAACTTTTACCTGAGTAACAAAGAGAAGATGCAATTAAATTTTACTTCTGTTCAAAATCAACGGTAGACTTTCGAATTGATCAAATGTTACATTTGAGACACGATGCGTCAACAAAATTAATCAAACTTATTTGAAATATAATACATTATATAAATATGGCATTTTAGTATAAATGTATATATACATGTATATACATACATATACGTACATATTGTACATACAACACATACTCTTTACATTGAATTTTTACAATGATTTAATTTTAACACAAATCTCAAAAGAGTTAAATAATTGTATAATTTTTTAAAATTAAAAATTATTAGAAAGAGCTATTTTGTAATATTCTATTATATTATTCTTTGTCTAAAAATCTAAAAATATATAGTAATCCTGTTTTATAATAATAAGATTAATCGCATTATTCATTTAGTGTTGCAAGTATAAATATAACTCTTCAATCGTGATTGCGAAACGTTACTGTAGTATTGACTACTGTAGATTGTGTGACGTTAACGATAAACTCATTAATTATTGTGAAATTGAATCAGTTTTGGAATTTGCCAATTGGACAGACAGCAGATTGCATTTGGTAACTAAAGGTAAAGCTTTTCCGTCACTTAAACGCTTGACGAATCCGTTTTAATAGGTTAATATTACATAATAAATTAGCTTAGCTCTTGCATCAAATAACGCGCTCATTAAAATTATTTGATAGACAGTTTCTAACGGCAAGTGAACGTCGAATCTAAAATTATTTCGACTCACGATAACAGATCGGTCATTGAACGAACCATTGTACTTATTGTAATAAATGTATTCATGATTACATATCACACAAAATTATTAAAACAAAATTGCGTTTAAATCACAGTATCAACTTTCAGTGATATCTCTGCCGATTATTTTATGTAAATGTCACGATTAATATAATGTGATATAATTAGTATAGAAATAACAACAGGATAATGTGTACAATAATAATTCATTATTACTCCTATGTGATTATGCCAGTTACGTACAATTATGTTCCACACGCTCACGCACAAATTTAATTGAAACTTTTATATTGTATTTTACATTCTTTTCCAGTCATTTATTATGAATATATATGTTATTATGGATACAGGTGAATACATACTCTTTGTATTGAACTTTTAATACAAAGAATTAATTTTAATCATATGAATCTGAAAAGAGACAAAAATGAACAATTAACAATTATACCTTAAAAATGCCACATGACATTCAATTACGATATTCGAGCTGCAATAGACACTGGGTAATGTGATAGCGGAAAAACGCGGGCATCCAAATACGCAAGAAGATATTTACCGGCCACTCGTGAAATCGAATATTGCTCACAAATATCGAGCAGACAATTGAGTATTCTGGCAAACAAATAGTTGCTGCTTTATTAAAAACATCGGATGACGAATTGCAATCTCATTTATCTAGCTCTTAGTGTTTTTGGATTTTTTTGTATGTATATATATATATATATATATATATATATATATATATATATATTCAGTGTGTTGTTAATTATTCAAGATTGACTCATATACACCTATGGATCGCCCCTGATTTCAAGAAATCATTAAAAGGAAATTTATTTATAATTTTTTTTTTTTTCAGAAAATCGCTAATTAATAAAGTCTTTACTAATTTTGTATATGTTGTATATGTTGGCAATTTATTGCTTCTTCAAACTTGAACAATATTTTAAAAACTAATATTTTAGTATATTAATGGTCCAATATAAACCAGAAAAGTAAAAATAAGAAAAAAACGATTAAAAACAAAATTTAATTGGAATGAAGTTGTTCTTCCAGCGAGCTCTTCAATTATTCTTATCTAAGATTTACACCATATTTTACGCTTGCGCGTAATTTAAGCGAACGTTTCGACCGATAAGACGCGGCGCGGCGCGGCGCGGCGCAAAGTCACGGCGATGCATTATTAAAGCCGCATCCGGTCTCGGTGCACCCAGATCGATGTTGTCGGTACCGCGAGCGGTCCACGATTTGCTCGCGCGCCGACTCGTTCGTCTGTCCGTCTGTCTGTCTGTCCAGGAAATTGGGTTTGGAGATTTCGTTCAGATTGCGGTGCACGTCCTATCTCTTGCATGCGGAAACACATCCCCGTCGCTACGACACACAGGTACAAAAACAGACACGCGCCTTTTTTTTGTTTCTGTCCTCCAACCGCGTGTCGTCGTCCCGGCCCCGCCTTTCTCCTCGACATCCTTGTCGCGTCTCCTGCCACGTCTCTCCGCCATGTAATAGTTTCGCGAAAAGACCGGAGCGCTACTGATCGAGCGACCGGAAATAAAACGGCTCCCTCGACGGTCTTGTTGGAGGAATTCTGCATGCATCGATCGTACGGACCTCTTCAGTGCCCTTCACCCTTTCACGAAGGATGTCCCACTCGAAGGTGAGTCGATGCCCTCTGTCCTATCCGTTCCCTAAGACCTGGCTATTTGCGAGGTGGACCTACGTGCTTGCCCGCAGCCACCCGGTATTTCGTTACGAAGCTGATTTCGAGGGGGGATATCAATTCCGCTCGAACGGGCCCTGCCGGAGGAGATTCGGTCCCGAGTCCTCGAAGCTGGCGAAGGACACTTTGCACTCTCAAACTAGCTCCGGTTCGCAACACGTTACAGCTATTACGCGCAGAAATTTGTGGCATGAGGATTAACAAGGACACAGCGTTGAAGAAATAAAGAGTTTTGCAGTAAATAGAATCTAAATGTTTGTGAAAGGACATTGCATATAAAATCCATAATTTACTATGACTTTTCATTTAGTTTTTACAACTTAAAATTTTGGTGACAACAAAATATTTTTTTACAATATAGTGTGCGAAATTTTAACAACATATTTTTCATATTTTTATGTAAATGATTACTTTTTTATGAATTTGAGGAAAAACTGCAGAGAAGATAAATTTTTAAACATATTAATTTGTCATGGAAATAATTGATATTGACTTTTCCTGAAAGAATGCAGTTCGCGTAGTATACACAATCAATTATTGAGTAGAATATAAAACTATATCATGTATACATATTGCATGTAAAATTGAAAATGGCTAAATTTTTCATAAATCTATTATACGTTATAAATTGATATACAATTCAATGCATGATCGTCAAGCTGCAATGCTTGTTAATTCATTTTAATTACAGTTTACTTGATATCCATATTCTTTCATTGTTCTTTCATTGTAATTTTTTGAAGAATTTTCAAGGCGTTTCTATGAGAGCAACCTTCATCATGTTCCGAGAATCCCAACGTTTGATAGACTTTCACGTACCGCAATAAAGTGTCTGAAAATTACATTTCGAGACGAAGACCTCCGGTAAGCCTGCCTCGTAACCATCAAAGTTCGGCCAAGTACGGCACAGTCCTCGAAACGGAACGGGGGGATTTTACCGCCGCTCTACTTGAATTTATGCGTCCTCTCCACGGGCTATGAATCCAGGTTTACGCGCAGGTACGTTGAAATTAATTAGTTCGCGGTCCAGTCTGAAACATGTAACTGATTCAGACGAAAGCTTAACGATAAACTGTGATCAACGCGCTAGTGATTATAGAGATCTCTCTAAGATTTATTAAGAGCTTATTCTAACGAGTAATTTACTCAAGTGCTTTCACAAATTGGATATAAAATCCATTTTGAAAATATTTTGGTATCTCCTTAAATATTTTCATCGTCATAAATTTTTTAGTTACTCCCACATATATACGCATTAATATTTTAAGTAAAATATACTTTTAGTACAAATAGAGTTAATATTAGTTGAAAAACCGAATTATAATATATTAACCAAAAATAGGATTTCTTTTATTCTCACCAGTCCAATTTCAAATTATAATTGTTTATGTCTCTTTGAAAAATGACATTCTCTCACTAATTATTGATTGTTGCAACAAATATTGTTGAAGCATTAATGGTCAAATTAGAAAGTACGAAATTTAAGAGATCGGGGTTCTTGAATCCCGACTGAGGCAATATCTTTCGCAATGAAATTATTATTTGCAATTTTTAAGATTGTTGATTTAATTATTTATATTCTTACAAAGATGCTTATGAGCACATTAATTTTGTTAAATTGTCAATTTAATATGTGATGTTACTATTCTAATTCCGTTCATGATTGCATTTCAAGACTGAAAAAGATTTTGATGCTCAATTTGCAGCATTGGATTAGTATATAAATTCACATCGAAACATTAAGATTTAAACATTAAGATTCATTTTGATCAAAAACAGGATTTCTTTTGCTTCATTAGATGTACTCTCATTTAATTATTACTCGATCATTTCGAATTATAATTCTTCATTTATTTTTCTTCAAAATTATCTTATTAATTATAAAAATAATTTTGTAATAGGCTATTAAAGAATGTAATAGACCATTAAAAGAACGTTATACATATAATGTTCAGGTAATGCCACCGGAAATGGCACCTGCGACGGAAGTAGCGCGTTAATTCTTTAACGTTAGCACCCACGATACGCTTATAGTATACACTATGTTAGGTTACAACATACAGTGTTTTATGACGGCACTCGTCCTCGGAGGTATTATCCGCCAATTTACGATCATGGCGCGACGTGTTCGGCGCTTATAAATGAACGATATGTCGCGTAAAGTTCCACATAAATTTTCGTCTAACTCACAATCGGGTCATCGTCTGCACGATAAAATCAAGCGATGATTGATTTGCATGTCGGCGATAAATAATGTAATGCGATAAACGATATAACGTCGTTGCAAATCATTTTGTAAACTGAGAATGACGGCTAAAAGTGTGAAATTATATGCGCTTAAAGGACGAATATTCATAGTAAATAGAAAAAAGATGTACTCAAATAAAAAATAAAAAGTACAGTAATACAAACTGTCGAGACTATCTTAATTATCGAAAATTAAAGTTAATGAATTTAAATGAATCAGAGACTTTAAGTTCAATTGATATTTAATAAGATATTTAATAAG